ATTGACGGAGTGAAATGCGTTGCCATGGGTTTGTGTATTGTGAATATGATCAGTGTTAATATTAATAGAGTGTTATGTTGTGGTTTTGGTGCTGTTTTAGTTCCTTTGTCCTTTTCTTTGTTGTGATATATGATGGGTATGTCAATATGTCTGTTTATTGTGTCGTTGTCCCACCGTTCCAAGCTTTTAAATTCGAGTGCGTGTTTAATATGTGCGCGTCCGTGTATTTTAGTTTCGTGCAGTCGAATTGTGGTTGTTTCCGTGGTATGTTCTGCCGGTAGTGAGTTTGGATCTCGTCGTTTTTGGCGGTTTTGTGTTCTGTGAGTCTTGTTTCGATTTTGTTTGATGCTTGTCCCATGTATTACTATGAGCCATCTTTACATGATATCATGTGGATTGCGTCAGTTGTATCATAAATTAATGTTTTGTCTTTATGTTTGGTGAAACAAATTTGAGTTTTTGTGTAGGTTTGTGGGCGACGCTATTAAAATGGTCGAAGAAATCTGGCAATCAGTTCTGCTGTTCCATTTATGTATGGTAATGTGACGATTTTACTGTTTCGTCCATTTTCTTGTTGCTTTGTCGTTTGTATTTTGTTTTGTATTTTGTTTATTGTTTTGTTTATGAAGTTTCTAGGTAAATATTTTTAATAAATGTATTATACGTAGTTGCGTTCTGTTTTCATAATCTTCAGTGTTACAATGATTGTTTATCCTGTTAAAATGTGTTAAAATGTAGCTTATTTTGTATTTTGTTGGTGATTGCTGTTGAAATCGAGTATTTGGCATGTGTGGGTGGTTTTGCGGATATACTTGTATGTTTAGTGTACCTTCATCTGTTCTGGTTATTTGGATGTCGAGGAAAGTAAGTTGTTTGTCGTGCTCTTCGTCTCTAGTGAAGGTTTTGTTTTTTGTGGTATTGTTTATGGTGTGTAGGATTAACTAAGTTTTGTCTTTCTTGACTATGCAAAATATGTCATCGACATATTATTTCCATAGTCCGATGTTTGTGTTGTTTGTGACTGATCCAATCACATTAATCCACCTGCTAATCTAAATAGACGCTCTAAGTGTCTAGAAGCTAAAAGCATGTTTAAACAATATTTCCTCATTTTGATGAAAGCTCGAAGCAACGAGTCAAGAGCTCAAAAAAAAACCATTTCACACAATCCGGAGAATCTTTCATTTTTATATATTAAATGCCTGGATTACCAATGTTTAAACTTATAAACTTTAAACTTCAGGGAAAGATCCCCTGAAGAAGATCCCCTATAAGCAATCTCTAAGCAGGCTTTTCTGGATGAATCTATATTTTTCGTGAATTTTTTCAAATAAAATAAAATAAAATCAACAATATTTTGCTGATTCTACTCGGAGTTTTACGCCGTAAGGCAATCTTCATACAACTGACCAATTGTTTATTATTCACTGATTGGAAGCATGTTGAATCTCTTTAAAACATTGACGTGCAACATCTAAGTCGAGGTCCTTGCATCTTTTCCATCAACAAAGCGCACTCTTCAAAAGTTTTCCAAGATTGTTAGGGAACGCATATTACCATTGTGTATTTATAACCTGACATGGATGCATGAAAATTATGTAATTGAAAGTATTTTGCAATTGAAATTTTGTTTGGCGAGAAAATTTGCCAGACTATATATAGCTCCCATTTCCAACAACTCCTTCTTCCTGCAAGCTGTGCAAGTCTTTGTTTTTTCCAGCTTCAACTAATTGTTTACGTGTGCAGTGTGATAATATTCACAATTGGGCTAGTTATTTTCATAAACGTGGAGTACGTGTTGGTATATTCTGTTTTATTGGTTTCTTCGATGGTGCAGCGTGTGTGAATTTTGTAGAAACACTTTCTTATGCAGCTTGGTGTGGAGGGTATTTTGCTTAATTCTTGTGTGTTAATTCTTCTCTATCTAATGGGCTTTCTTTGTAGTATAAGTTTTGAAAGGGGAATTGGGTGGAAAGGCAAAAAATAAACCGCTTCGATAGATCGTGTCTCTTTAAAAGGATATAAGTATATCTCTTTTGAACAAGTATGTTTCAAATATTAATTTTGTTGCTCAAAACTGCATGTTTGAATCATAAAACAATGGAAGAAACATAAGGAAAGAAACAGAATTCAATTATGTAATCTGAGGCAAGGTATTAAACTTACTTTGGTGTTATGGTAGCAAATACTATTTAAAGCGGCTAATGTAGGATTTTAAAGACTTTTAGGGCTTTTGCATATCTAGTGGTCGGGTTAGGTTGGGACTACACTAGGAGTTTAAAAGGCACTCACATCCTTTATCGAGTATGTGCAAAAATAACAAAAATAGTATAATGGTTCTGACCTATAATTAACATTTTCTGTGTCACTAAAAGACACATTGCATTCAATTCGACTAAAAAATTCAGTAAGTATACCCACCCAATATAGACAAATTTTAATTATATGTCTGAGTCATGTTCAAACTAATAGTATTTAACTTCCACTGTAGCCTGACCACTAGTCTATTAATGTAGCCCTAATGTCCTGACTACTAGTCTTTTATATACTATTTGTTACATATATTACCGAAAAGCAAATTCAATACCTTGCCTCTGATTATATACTTGAATTCAGCTTTTCTCCTTTTAAAAAGATTGTGTAGTTCTTGCATCTTTGGAGTTTGTTTTACAATTTCAACCAGAAGTTTTCAGAATCCAAATTAATTTTCAAACATACTTGTTCCAAGGCAGGGTGCTCAATGAAACATCTCCCATCCATTTTCTCCACCATCATTTTTTCTTTGTATGGCACAGTTTTTAAAATAACAAAGACACTCGCTATGCTTCATATTCTAAGTTCCTGTTGCCCCATTTTATACACGTACAAAGCTTGTAAGCACTCTAGTATTTATACAATAATATACAGAACACTCAGCAAAACACCGTACAATTGACTCTATATACAGACAAAATTACCAAGTATTGGTTGGTTTCTTTGCAGATAATTGTAAACATAGTTTTTAATTCTTCCTCTTACTTTTGTACGTGTAATTAACTGTTGTTAATATTCCATATGCTCCATACAAGTAGCTGTAGCCTACAAGTTTCATAAAAACGCAAGCTTCACCAAATTTTTCTTCGTCTGTGTGTTTGCGCTAAGAGACGGCTCGGAAGACGATTTGGAGTCTACATTTGTTTCTAAACTTTTGTCAAATGTCATAATTTACAAAATATAATGCCAAAAATCAGAAAAGTATCTTTAAATTTCATATTACGAGGCTCAAGCGCACAGCATTTCAATTAAGAAATAAAAGACGTTTATTGTGTTTGCATAAGATTATGCAAACGGAGGAAGCCTTTAAGGAAGTTGAGAGCAGATCAGTGCATTCCTGAGACTGGAGGTTGAGGTTGCAAATGCTCGGTGGCCTCACAAACATCTACGAGGCTTGCATAAGCCAGTGCATACACGAAAAACATCTTTTAGTTCTTTATAAAATAAAATAATGCAAAAGACAAACATTTTATTTTTCCGCTAAAATGTTTTCATGAATGATTTGCAAATTATCTTTGACTGATTGATTGTTTTGAATGAATTAATTGGTTGAGCACAGATGTATTTGCTCAGGCTTATGCAAACACAGTTCTAGACCAATTAGCACACTCGTTTCATTGTGTTTTTTTTTATAATCTTAATTGTTGTGACTGGGACAATTTCCTTAAGTAAACAACGTTTTCATATCGAATAAATGTCCCGTTTTTTAATCCAATTTTTTATTTGAGGCCGTAAAATTGCAGGTTTGAATACAAAAAAAAAAACCTGGATAATGATAGAGTTTTTCGTTGAAATTTGGCAGGTGTTTTTAATCAAATCTATATTTTATAAAAATGCAATAAAATGATGACTCAATGTTTCGTCACGGGGTTATTTAAGCAAAATTCTTTGGCGGCATTATTGATTCGGAAAGGTTTTCAAATTTGAGTGATATTTAAGAAATTATTGTTTAAAGGTAGTTCAGAGTTGTAAAAAATAGTTTGAAGAAAATAAAATTTTACATCACTACATTCATTTTACACTGATTAAAAGACCAAAAATAGGTCTTTGCCTTTAATAATTATTACTGAAGAAAGAAGTTCTAACAATCAGTTAAAACAGTTTTAATTTAAAACGTGTGTTAGTGCGTTTTTGTGTTATGCAGTGGAATATGCAGAATACAATTCAAAAAAACGGTTTATATATTTGCATATAAAAATTTAATAACTCCATGTATAAAATGCAAGCACTTTTGGTGTTTGAAAAATTTTAGCTACATAGTACAGGTCGCTTGCGATACAATCCTCACTTTAGAATCAAGCAAGCACTTGGCTAGCAACTTGAAAATAGATTACAAATCAATTATAAGTTTGGATGATAAATTTATCTGGCAAAAATCTCTTTGAAGCAAAAATAATAAAGGTACAAAATTGGATACCTCAGAATAAGATATAAATGCTTTATTTCACTATTATTAGTTATCATTCACAAACAAACATCACCATGATTATTGAATATTTTGGTTAGTTAGTTTTAGTGTTAAGTTTGACAGTATCATGTTGTTACATGAAATAGTGCATCGTTCGTATACAAGTAAATTTCTCTTCTTTTTCTATGAAGTATATCTTCATATTTACACCTGAAGTTTTAGTTTAGAACAGACGAGAACGCAAGAGATTCTACTTTCATACACATAACATTATTTACAGTTCAATGACTTACATTGAAATGGTTTATATTTTCTAATAAAAAGGCTTTACGTACTTGTTACCAATAGTCTATCATCTTATTTTTATCATGTTCTTTCACACAACCTTTCATAACCTTCCAAAATCTTTGGCGTAAGAGGCGACTAATATTCCAAAACTAATTTTTTCCAATATAATTTATAAGACGCCAGCATCAAGAAACTTGCCAGAGTAATTCATTCCCTTTCTTTAAAGATCAATTTGTTTTAGTCTCCACTCAAAATATGATGTAATTTAAAGGAAACGGTCAAGGCCGAAATCAACGCAGTGGTATAATTGGGGACGTAACTCAACATATTCATGAAAGTCTTGAGGCTGCAGATAATATTGAGTTCAAAGTACACTCTAAAAAATGCACAACAAGACAAGCAGGTACTTATACAATTCTTAAATTTTCTTAAGATTGTTGATTTGCTATTTAAACTAGAAAACATACCTAATTCTAATGTGTTGAAATTTAAAACTTCTAACATTCATTGCAAAGATTTTTGTTAACATTTTCTTAACAACGTCTTTCTCTCAATCTCAATTGTTCTATCGTTTATATTACGATATTTAATTTTCATAGAATCTCATATTGAAAGAATTTTGTTTTCATTTTTGTTTTCGTTTTTGCTTTCATCTTCGTTTATGTTTTTTTTTTCTTTCTTTTTTCTTGCAAAAGATGATAGTTGGTTTTCTTCGATCTTTTAATGACTTTTATAATTTTATAAATTAATTTCAAAATAATAAAGTCAACATTAGTTGTCATTAACTTGACCTTTATGATAATGTTTTTGTGTACATGATTTAAAGCAATTGGAATAAATCGTTTAATAGTTTTACTTATTTTAATGTATTCTTTCTACTTTGTGTAATTAATACAGGCAGTCTAATAAATGAAACAAAATGCAAAAAGACTTGTCAATGTCTTAATGAGAACTTTGGACGATGGAAAAACAATACGTGGCAACCATTTTACTCAGGTAAACTTTAGCAAAAACATTTTTAAAAGTTTGAATAGCAATAGTAAAAAATGCCAGTTGCCTGAATGCAGTCTTAGAACGAGATATTCAAACTCTTGCATTTCCGAAATATGATCTGTTTGTTTCTGAATGCCATAAAAAATAAGCTTTGGGCAATTTAGACATGCTGGTGTTTCTTTAACATCGGCCATGTACAAAAAATTACCCTAAAATTAAAAAAAGAATGTTATCAAGTAAAAAGATTTTAAATTTTAAATGACATTAATCTGTATGGTTTTTTTCTGAGATACCTTCTAGAAAAGTCAACAATGTACGTATTTTTCGTTAAATTAATAAGCGCAAGAGAACTTGAAAAACCTTTAATCCAAGTACTACTGCAGATTGAAGCAATTTTTATATAGATATTGTAAAAATAAAAGGAGAATGCCAAAAAAGTTACACGGCCTTTTTGTACAATATATTCACCAGGATCTTTGGGCCGTGAGGGAATTAGCTCAGGTTGAACGCTTTCAATATCGTATTATGGATAATATAAAATAATAACTCCTCTCAATGCAATGATGAATCGATCCTATTACGATGTCTGCTCTCTGGAAAACGTTCTGCTTATCAGTGTTGTCTCTACTCGTGCTCTAATTATTTTATTGTTATGCTAATAAGTGAAATTGTTTTTAGATTACTAGAGATTTAATTGCAACTTTTCTTTAGTTGATGAGACCATCGTCTTAGTTTGTACAATTTCTAGCCCATCATCTCGGATTCATTAATGTCACATGAGCAAGAGAGAAAGGAAAACTTTGTCATATAAGGGGGATTAGGAAATTTATATCAAAACAGAATATAACAAAAACATTTTGTTTATTTTCTTCTTCTTTTTAATTAATGGCATACACAATCGTTAAGTAAGCTAAAATTAGTACCGTAGTAAGGCTTGGTTTAAAAGAGTAAATGCTTTTTCGAACGCATATTCTCAACAAAAAGTTACATTCTTATGTGTGAGATTATTTAACGTCAAAGATATAGTTACAAAGTTCCAAACATATCTACGGTATTAATTTCCTAGCCCATAAAAGCTTTTGACCTCACATCGGCATTGGGATGGGGAAAAATCTTTGACGGCTGCTATTTTGTTCGGATCTGGCCGAATACAATTGAGAGGGACAACATGACCCAATATACAACTCTAGAACGGGAAAATGAAAACTTAATGGGCTTTAGTTTGCTATCTAACGAATGGAACCTACCAAAAATATCGTTGATATGGATAAGATGATCATCAAATGAGCGTGAGTAGATAATAATATCCATCAAATAAACCAAATAAATTTGGTATTGGAGACATTGCACGACAGTATGCATTAAGCGTTGAAATGTGGATGATGGGTTTACTAACCCAAAAAGCAATGGAAAAAATGCATATAGGCCACTATGTGTTGCCAAAGCAGTTTTGATTTTGAGCTGCCAAATAGCCGGACCACAGATGAAAGCAAGAAAATACGAAGCTGCATGCAGACAGTCAAGGATGTTTGTTTTGTGCGGAATCGGATGAGAATGTCGTTGTTTGATCTTATTTAGCTTGCGGTAGTCCACACAGAAACGTTTTGTCCCATGTGCTTCAAGTGTAATATTTCTATTCATGACACTAACATCTTTGGTGCCATTAACATTTTCAATCTCGTCACAATTGTCTGCAATTTTTCCAACAGGAGAGTGGGAATTTTTATTAAAATTTGTGGAGTTATATTGCGATGGATGTACCTTCTTTCTCGACATTTCGCGTTAAATTGTTACTTCTTGGCTTCACGACCGTTTTGCTGTAAAGAAGAGTTCTTAGTTTCCCAACTGTGGCCAAAAAGGGTTGTTGTTGTGAGCATGATACTGATAATACTCAAAGGGAGGAACATCAGGCCAAATTTGTAAATCATATTGAGACACAAATAAATCACCCAGTAGGACGGATTGGAAAATTCTGATATAGACTATTGGGGTTGTATTTATCATCCATTCTACAGTTGTGAGCCTTATGAGCAACTATATGACAGTTGTTAAAAAATAGGTAATCTGGCCAACTGCTGTACGGTGGTTACGGCTAGAATGTATACCCAAATTTGACTGCATATACTACCTTGTCGGTATAAGTCATAAGCCGGCTTTGCCGAAAACTGGAGTTGTTCATCAACTCATGCAAATTGTACTACGTAAATATTTATCAAACATATCGTTGCATTTAACTAATCGTTGCTTTATTGTATGTGGATTGCATGTTACGTCATAGCCGCCATGTTGGTGGTCAAATACTTAGCATATTCACTTGAGCAAGTAAAACATCTGACACAGTCTTTTAGCTCGTCATAATGAAGCCATTTATAATCTTTGAACCAGGGTGGATTAAAAGATCGATTCTGTGATCCAAATCTACGTTGGGGTAACTTGAATTTTTTTTGGTAAATAGGCACTTAAACAGAAAAACGTCGTATTAACATTCTAATTAGTTCTACAATCCTTTTAGATTTCATTTATTAAGGGCTTTGCAATTCTGCGAGACACTATACGTTAGTAAATTCACTATAAATATAAAGAGAACAAGAAAGAAAAACTGCAGGACATTTGACTTCTTCAGTAATTTTCATTATCAAAGCATGACTTTCAAAGCATGGGAGATATTCCCATGAAACAATTTAATAATAATAAGCGAGTTTCTTACGCTTCTCTTTTACAGAAAGAGAAGACTAATTAATATAAGAACGTAGTCCATTTGTAAGAGACGAAATGCCTTTGATAATGTTGATACAGTGGAAAATCTAGTTTGTCACCATGGACAATTTATTTCTGTTATTGTATCTTTTTTGTGCAAACTAGATGATTGTTTTGAAGCGTTTGAATTGTGTTTAACGCTTCAACGAGGAATTTCACTATAATTTAAAATGAAATACAGGTATGATAAAAAGATTGCTTCATGGTTGGTTTGTTTTTTATAATTTTTGTCTTGCACTTGTTTGGAAGTACACTCGTAAGAAGTGCACTCATTCACTACGCTCACTAGTTTGTTTTTAAATACTTCTCAAATGGTGCATAAAAATCGTAATAACTCACTAACCATGAAGTAATCTATTATTTTCGCACGTGCCAGCATATAGTATTTTGGCACAAAGAAGAAAAATCTCATGACACTTGCATTTACCTCAATGCAATGATTTTGGTTTGATTCTGATGAACTTTGTTTATTTTAAGATGAATGGAATATCAATTTGGAAGTTTCTAAAACACGACCAAAAAAAGTCAACAAAGGATACCTGTTTATATATGGAGATTCTGTTTCTTTCCGCTTTTGGGGTTCTATTAAACGAAAAGATGTTTGTAGGTCTTCATTCAAAGCTTGCAGAGTTTTTCGCCAATGGATATATCCTATTGGAAACACTGAGTTTTTAAAAATGGACGACTACGACTTTTGTCCCAACATTGTCATATATTACATAAAAAAGGTTCTAGGAAGTGAACTAATAAAAAGAAAGGAAAACGTGTTTATGTTAAACTTTGGACTTCATTACGTACGAAGTGTTAATTTTACGACATTTAAAAAGCTTGTTGATGATGTAATAGTTGTGTTGCAGAACCGTACAAAGGAGCTCAAAACCAATGCAACATTTGTTTGGAAAACTACAACAGCAATCCGTCAAGGACGTGGACACAACACTGCCTGGAGGTTTTACACACAACAGGTAAAACTTTAGAGTCTCATAATATTTCTCTCAGTTAAAAAAGTGTTTATATACAAAAATATTACCATAAATAGATACATTTTAAAAAATTGTTTGTTGCAGCTACAACGTGCATTGTTTTTTATGTCATGAAAAGTAAATATTACACAATGTTTTTTTTCTTCTAATTTCAAATAGAAACACCCTCTATCATAAGGAAGACTATTAAAACAAACCAGTTTAGTGATTTTAAAAACAAGAAAATTCAGAAAACTATACAAGCATCACTTATTATACCATGCTTGACACGGTGCTTGTATCTTGTCTATTTCTGTATCAATACACGTTTTTTTCAGTATAGTAGCGAATATTATGCATATAATAGATATATATAGTATGATAGTTTCTACCATTGTTAGTAGCTTCTGTATAAATATTCCAATGAAATATTGTTTGGAGCAAATGATGAGTTTATTTACAAAATAAATAGAGTAAAAATTAAAGTTTAAGATTAGAGTCAGTTTTGTTTATGCATGTGAAGTGCTTCGTCGAGAAAGCAATATCGGCAGTGCCAATAATTTGAAAATAAGAGGATAATTTTGGAATAAAGGTTATGTTAAAAGGGTGTCGATAAACACATGAGTTTTTGTCAGTTTTGGGGTTGTTTTCCGTTCGCGTGAATTACATCATCGCTCACACGATCGAATAAGTATACCACTATATATTTAACAGAATGTGGAGTAGGATCTTTCGATGAAAGGCAATTTTCTGTTTTGAATGAAGTAAAAATTAGTAGGATGTTAATGTCATTGCAGAAATGCTTGATAATGTTTGTAAGTCTGTGTTGTGTGTGTCGCGAATGATGTTCGTAATTTTTTGTGATGGTCGTTAAATGGGATGTTTTTATTTTAGCTTTGAACTTAATATTATTGTTGTCATGGAAATATATTTTGACTGTTTTATTGGTAAAGTAAAGCTAGAACGAGTTGTTTAATAAAATCAACGTGATGTTTCTTTTCCTGCTAAAAGCCGTTAATGGTGCTTTTAATAATGCTCTGTAACGGCAAGCCAAACACGTCAAAAGTGTTGTTTTAAAAAACGCTTGTTGACATCCAGTGTTTATGTCTTGAGATAAAGAAATTGATGTGCGAGAAAGAGAAAATTTGCTTTACGAAAAAGAATAATGGTCGAGTTCGTATCCAGTCCATTAAAAAAACACAAAAGTGCAAATGCTGCCATTTTCAAAATAAAATTCGATTTGAAAATAAACTTCAATGTTTAGGAAAACATTGTCCATTTTCTGAAAATGATGCTCACTTTAGTCTGTTTTATGAGGTAAATAAGCAATAAACGTGCTTTTGAAGAAGCATTTTAATTGTCATGAATATTTTTAAATAATTTTAATTACAGAATACACAAAAATAGCTATCACGCTACGTCCGAAATTATTGGCGTAGCTAGCGGTCATGCTGGTCATGCTCAGCATGACTAAAACTTTCCACAAAAATTATTTCAAACAAAAACTTATTAGAGTCATTGTAGATTTATGATGACTGATTGTTTCTTTGAGATTAATTTATTAACATATAACATTTTGGAACGAAAATCAAATAAAGAATTGCTTTTTGCGTCTTAATAAAGTATTCTACTAAGATTTATCTTGCTACCAGGTAAAAGCGTAAACTAAAACTTATTTTACACTTATAAGCGTAAATCGGTCATGCTATCAAAAAATATTTTTGTATTCTGATTGGATAAGAGCCTCTGAGCATGGTAAAACACGACATTTTACGTCATCCGGTTATGCAAATTATCAAAGGCATGACCAAACTTAATCCCGCAAGTAATTTTCTATATAAGTGATTTGCAGTTTGTGTACATTCAAAACATTACAAAACACTATCTTTATAATCTATCATATATTTCCATACTTATATATGCTGCCGAAGGAGATATCATATAAGGCCAGTGATATTGCTAGCCTTGCCTATTGTCCTCGGATTTAATGTTTCTCTTCACGTCATTGACGATGAAGGGCGTGAACTGTCGCTAGGGGCATGCTCCTGAGGAAATGTTTGAATTTTTGCTTTAGGAGGAGCGATTTCCAGCGATTTGGGAAAGGTCATTGAAAAATCGTAAGCATAAGTTTTATCAAAACCCATTTAATCTAACATATAATCAAAAAATTTAAAATCGCACGCATCCCCGCATATTTTAGTTTGTATTATGTTACATATGAATATCAATATAAGTGCTGTATGAGTAAAATGGCATCACAACGTGATCATGTATATGTTTTGAGGATTGTTTATCGTTATCTAAGAGACTACATAGTTTCCATATAAAATATGCATGCATAAATGTCAATTTCCTTACTTTAAAACTCTTATTTCTTCACTTTGCCAATAACAGTAAAATGTTCACGAAGTAATATTTCGAATGACTTATCTCTCGCAATTTCCCTTTGAAAAGGGACTCCGAGGAGAGAATTTTGAAAGCCGAGTTGTGTTGATAAGAGCATGGCCAAAAATTTTTTGCTAACAGTTTGGTCAACAACCACCAGTCAGCATCTATTCATAAAGAGGTTTTTAGAGGTTTCAATCGACCAGCTTAGTTGCATTCTTCCAGAAGTTCAAATTCAATCACCTTCTATTCTTTAAAATGAAATTTCCAATGAAGATTGACGAGAAATAATAAAGGAAAAAGACCTATGGGGCTAAGTGGGCCATTTCTATGCGATGTGTTTTTATTAGGTAAGCAATAAGACAAGTTCCCAACACGGTGTCGAGTATGGTTATCACATGGAAATGTCAGCACCCAAAGTAAGCCAAATTAAAAATTGCATTATTATGGTACATCATATATTCAAAGAAGGCCTTTTGTCAGACAAAAGCTGAAATCCTTGATTCACACAGCCTTTCTTTGTCATCTCCTGACGAAGTCACCTTGTACATGTGTAGTACTTCCTATCCTTAAAATTTGATACGTGTAGCCTAGAGTGATACAAAGTGCTGTCACGTATCCGTAGAGGTTCTGAAATCTCTGTATTTCGTCCCTAATTCACGGAGCTGCTATATTTGAGATGTTGCGATAGGTTATGCAGGTCTTAATCCGGTACATTGAGACACGCCCAGAATATGTTCAGTAAATTACGTGTTATCTAAAACGCTTCAATTGTCTCTAATTATATGCAGCTTTTTCTTTAAATGTGTCGACTAGTTGCCAAAGCAAATTTCTCAGCGTAAATTCCTCATCCGGTTCACGCAAATCAGAGCAAAATTCTACAATTATTCAAAGGCTGTCGCCAACTTTCCTCTCCAGATTTCTAGCTGAATGGAATCTCTTAATTTGTAGCTTTGTCAACTTTGTGGAAGATTTCAATTAAAGTTCCAAAAAATTCTCTTAATTCGTCTTCGCCATCATCCATTTTGATTTATTGAACTAAAATAGATGGAAATACATTAATCTTAGGTCAAGGTTTTGATTAAATTCTAACGGAGGTGGCAAAAAAATCAAAATTGTGGCATATGCAGTTCCGTATTTTTTTAATGGACTGCTTACGAATTCAATCTGCATTTTTTTTGAGATAAAAAATTTTTTCTTGCCTTTCTCACACGTCAATTTTTTCTTCTCATACATCAATTTTTTGTCTCGCACATCTATTTCTTCATCTCAAGAAATAAACACTATATTTCAACAAGTGGTTTTATAAAACAACAATTTTGACCTGTTTGGCTTGCCATACTCTGTCTGTGAGTATGCGTAATAATCCAGTTCTGTAAAAGTGGTGAAAAACTAAAGTAGCTCAACAGTAGTCCTAGGTGGAAGGTGGCGTCTACATTAAGCAGGTATCTTGTGTTTTTGTTGATAAAATTGTTAAAAAAGCTAGTTTGTTTCAGTTTTTTTGCAGCAACGGCACATTATAGCAAGCAGCTGCATTTTCCGACAATTCTAACGTAACAGCGCATTACTGTACCCTGTTTTACTGTCAGCTAGTTCTGCAACAACTGCACCTTACCACTATCAGTTTGGCTGTTTCCAATGTAAAAGAACATTGTTTTTCTACTTGTGATCTGCAGCTTTTTTGTTTACTACAGTGGCACCTTGCCACTAGATTTTATTTAGAATTAGCAAAGCTTGAACTTTTAAAAGTCTTGTGAAAGTTTTGTGAAAGTTCATTTTTATGTCGATAATATGTCTTCATGTTAGGAAATCCTGCATAAAGAACTTAGACGACATTGACCCATGGTATTTCTTAAATAACTCAGCACTTTCTTTAAACAAGAGACTGATCTTTCAACAGATGCATTTCTTACTTACATATCATCATTCATCTTCATCAACTTTGTGAATTCACTAATACTAGATTGAAGATAGAACTCAAAACATATATATTTCAGTAATTCTGCATATGAAATTTTTTTGAAAACTTTATCCCTAGATGAAAAGCAAAGCTGGCTGACGAGCATTGTTACATCAAAAAGATCAATATACATCTCCTTCGGTTCAATAATTTTCTCTGAAGGACTTCATATGCTTTGTAAATCACGTTGGGTTTCAGGCAATTGCCGTTTGTCGGGCATAGGTGTTTCTGTCTGCAGTTACATTTCTTTAGGTAGTTGTTCTTGTTCTGGGTTGTTTCTGGGTTATGTCTCTTTAAAATAGTCTTGTTGTGTCTGGGAGTGTCTGGTTATAGTCTTGTTGTTTCCTGGTTATGAAAACTTTCATAACGTACAGAATACGCCAATTTAACAATCGACATTCGTGGTTACTACAGCTTGGTATAATTTAAGCTTTTTTTGTTTGAGCACGGCAATTGTGTAATATTTGACGGAAATTCTGCACTAATATACCATAAAAACATTATTACTCTGGAATTGACTGAGCAACAACGAAATTTTTGGCCTTGTTCTTTCAAATATGTGTTAAAATATTTTACTTTGGTAATAACCTAAGAGATAGGTGAAACTAACCATAAATTTAGGTTATAACAATTAGAAATATGTAAATTTAACCATCAGTTATACATTGTAACTAAATTGTTTATAGATAGTGGTGTACGTGATTTTTGCTTCTAGGAACTATATGAGAGAACTTGTTAGGACTTTTCAGAGACTATGTCTGTGTTTGAATGGCATTTTGTGAAGCAAAGTTTATGTTCGTAGGCATGCCAATGAGCTTTGACATTTGGCCAAAAACCTCAAGCACTGTACACTTCGTTGTTTTTCAAAAAAACATGTTAGCAAAATGCATTGTTCTTACACAAAAGTGATAATAAAATTAGACAATTGCCATTCCTCTAAAAGGCTAAAAGTGCATTTCTGAAGCATTGAAAAATTAAAATTTTTCTAGGGAGTCTTAGGACCCTTTTACAAGGTGAACCCCTCATCCGTTCCATAACTGATGCAATCTGATTGAACCACCCTGCTGCAATAAAAGATACAAGGTTTTTTTAACTCGTAAACCTGAAACCTAAAATTGGTCTCGTTTATAACATAAAGTACACAGATCCTAAATAAGCTTTTGAAATTACTAATCAAGTTGCTACTTTATACTTTATGGTTAGAAGTGAAGTGTGCAGTACTACTATTAATGGTCTTTATGTAAAACTAAGCTATGATTCTGCGTAAATTAATATATAAATTTACGCTTTTTTTAAGTTAGTTGTTTAATCAACCCCAATCCGTCTTTGAGCTTTTCTTACAAATTGTAAATTTGGTTTAATTTTTAGAGATTAACGCTTTTCGACGCGTACGCCATGTCAGAAATGTGTAAAGCTGGTTTCTACGTAGCTGACGTGTTTCCACTGAGTGCATCATATTTACCTGGACCATTTGATTCTACTCATTATCGTGACAATGTGTTTGAGTCGTTGGGAAGAGATTTAGAGCTTTTTTCGATTGCTGGTTTGGATTATCAACCAACAAGGGTGTGCATTGAATAAGACTTTCTCACAAGTACAGACAATCAAACGTATTTTTCTTACATTTATACATGTTCTATCTTACAACTAATACTAGTGCTTATTAAAATGTATCAATTGATACCGTGCAAGTGCACATATCTTTTTGATTAATACAAAATAACTAGTTCAAAAAGAGTAGTTTCTTAAATGTTCAAAACGCAAACATTTTTGTGTTAAAAAATATAATGATTGAATCATGATTTTGTAAGAGCAAAATAGTTATAAAACATTTAAAATACATGACAAATTTCTTAAGAACAAAAATATTTCGGCATACTTTATGCCATCTTCAGTGCGAAGTGAATCAATATAGGAAGTTTACACGATAATATATGTAGTAATAAAGCGGAAGTATTAAATAGTTATCAATAATTATTTACAATTGAGTAGAGTGTTATAAAATGTTTGTGTTAGGCTTATTAAAAGAAAAGAAAAAACTTCAAAGAAAATGGATAATAAATGATAAAGTAATAAATGCTATTTACCAGTCGAAGACAATGTTAAAATGCTGCATTTGTTTGTTGAGGTTAGGTTTAAGTTTCTTGATGTAAGGGGCGTCTTTGAGTTTAAGAGCGAAAGGAGTGTGAGCGAGTAGTCTCCCACCTTTCCACACAGATTAAAGAACATACAACCACGGAGTCACACATATTCACCACACTGCAAAAATAATCACACACAATCCTGCTTCCGTATCTTAGACACCGCTCAAACTCATTTTGCCCTTAAACTCAAAGAAGGCCTTTATATTAAGAAACGTAAAAATAACTTCTAGAAACAAATGAGCATTTTAACATTGTCTTCGATTTGTAAAAAACAATTATTACTTTGTCAGTTATTATCCATACATTTTCTTCGTACTTTTTTCGTTTCTTTTATAAAACCTAACACAAACAATTTATAGAACTTTACTCAACTGTAAATAATTATTCATAACGATTCGATACTTCCGCTCTATTACTATATACAAATTATGATGTAAACTTTCTATATACATTAATTTCGCCCTGAAGATGGCATAAAGTATTCCGAAACATGTTTGATCTAAAGAAATTTGTTTGAATTGTGCATTGAAATTAAACGAAAAATTTTTTTTATTGTTATAAAGAAGTTTTGACTAACATTAAGTCATCAGTAGATAACGTGCAGCCTTGTAACACTTTGTCACGGAGCTCTAAAAAATGTCATGACCGTTTTGAGTTCGCAAATATACAGAACTCATAAGCCAAGTCAAACGAGCTAACCACTAAATTACACAAGTAGCCGCAAGCAAAGGTAAATAATGCACGTTGTGCAGTTGGATGGTGCGATACTGATAAACTCTATCCTGATTATCAAGTTAAGAGGTCCCACGTAGAAAAGTTAGTTTTTCATACAAGTGTCCCAAAGAGCAAGCACTTGATGAAATTTGGCGGAAACAAGTTGCAAACAACATAGCCGATAATGTTAAAGTGCCTATATTATGAATTTTAGCCCCTTTTTATGATCTTAATTGAAAATTTGGATTAATTGAAGAACTATGATATGTCGTTGGACTTAAACAGATAAATATAAGTTCCTTAATTTTGCCTCCAAATTCGGGTATTATTTGCAATTTTTTTACGACGCCATATTGATACTTGTGACGTAGATAGTTGAGCAAGTCTGTTTTATTAATGTAATATTATATTATGGGAGGTGATTTTGTTGTCGTTTTTCTTGTCTTAAAAACAAATAATGACAGTATTTTCAATAAAATATTAAAAAACAAGTTTTTCGATAAGTATGGCCTCAAATCAGTGCTCAGATAATTCGAATTCGACATCTGAATGCGTATCTGATTCGAGCTCGGAATCGGTGGGTTATGTCAAGCATTTAAACGACTTCACATACGACGATGAACCGCTTGCAGGAGATGGTGATGAAGTGCATACCCAGATGATCCCGATGTAATTCTCCCTGCGACATTAAAACAACGAAGTGATGGCGTAATTCCACTCAGTGAATGGTAAGTTGTTGTTTTCTCCTGTTAGTAATATACATAAAGTTACTTTATAAACCACAATGCTCCCACGTTTCAGGTGTAATTGTCAATGCTGTCATACCGATTTGTTAGAAGGCGCATTAGAGTACAGCTGTAAGGTAATAGGACTAGCTTTGCAGAAAATGACATTCGATGGCATCATTGAGAAAATATCATGCATAACACAGCATGCCAAATTTGGGCCATTTGTTCATGAAAACTGTCCTTGAAAAGATCGTGCTGTCCTTGAAAACATCGGGCCACTATTGAGATATAGGAATGGACGTGCTTATCGCCGCCAAGCCTCACAATCATTAAATATGAAAGATTGTAAATTGTATGAGAAACAATGTTATAATCAACATTGTTTCACCAACAATAAATAGTCCAACCTTTTATTTACTTCAGGTACTTGAGAGCTGTGGCATACAGATGGTTGATGCGATGTTTTTTGGTCTATGGGATAGGAGAATACGGTCTTTACCTGCTTGTGTTTACCACTTTATTCGAAAGCATATCCAAGTGGTAACACAAAAGGTTACATACCATCAGTGGCGCGATGATGGAAAGGTCTTTTAACTTGTGCACTGTAGAGACTGTTGACGTTCTTTGCTGAGTTTAGAATGGTCAAGAATTATGCTTAGATGAAAATCAAATAGGAGATACATGGATGCACTATATAAGTTGACATGCAGTTTAATGGTTTGAAACAAGAGAACACAATAAAAACAAATTGGTGCAACTACTGAGAGGTTAAGCAGAAAGAATTAAATGAAAGAAAACCTTTTCTTCAACGTCAGTCTGGGAAAAAAGACAAAAGAAAAAATATATGGAATTTAATCATAGCATAAATGTAAAAATGGAAAATAGCAAGCCACATGAACTTATCTTATAAGGTCTTCGCACTTGAGTGCACTAAATCCGCAAAGGGCATGTTGAGCATTAAACTACAATAAAAAATTATTCATAAAAGTAATTAGTTGCACAATCGAGTGCGATAGCCATCTTCAATCTGACAGGTATACATAACATTCAATGTTATATTAATACTGTAATCATGAGGAAAGGTGTGTATATTAGTGCCAGATAGGGAGGCTAGAGGGTACTATCACTTGCCTAAGGTGAACCCCCAAGCTGGTGGTGGGAAGGAGGTGCCTTATTTCTCCATTCCAGGCAGGTTCCAAGCAATGTCTGACCACCACCCTATCATCTACAACTTCAATTTATTCTTTTTCAGTGGAGCCTTAATTGGAGCTTTGCATTTAGTACATTTGGGAGTACTTTTATTCCCAGTGCTATTTAAAATTTGATCCGCATCATCTGTTAGGTCTTGTAACTTCTGTCTTTCTGTTCCACTAAGTTAAAAATGCAGATCATTACATCCTAAAATAATTGTAAGCAATACCATTATCCCATACTTACAGCACGGATAAAGTGCATGACTGACATGCTTTCTCCTCGCAACATATTTTTTATTGCATCAGCCATGGATCGTTTTATTGGGAAACTGGCTGCACAAAGGTTGGGTGCTTTTCTTCTATATCTTTCCAATATTGTTGAAAGTTCTTGTTTATTAGACATGAAAAGAACATTCTTTACTTGTTCAACATATTCTACAAATTGATATTAAAAATAAATTGTTACTGATGCTTCAATTCTCATAATCTACAAAACATTCTCAAAATTAGCATACCATAAGATGGCTTCACAGACACTTCCCGCACTACTTCCTCACCCAACTTATACTTAGGGAAATTTATGTTATACACCACTTGTCCATCCTTTGATTTTTTCAGCAGATGAGAAAATATGTTTCAAGGCATTAAAATGCTTATCTGCAAAATGTTCCAAGCCATGAAAAATGAGTCATTTTTGGATGCCAATGGTTAAGGGTGGAATGAAAGCCTTAAAGACAACTAGTCTGGCTATCTGTGAAGTTTGCTTGATGTCTTTCAAAATTCTTGGCTTGAGTAGGATAGAGCATATCTTAACATATGCAATAGTTCCTAAAAGGTTGTGAAAGTGTGTTTCATGTATTGAGTGGTGACTATAGTATGACAACCTTGTACTATTCAATTTCAACATTAGCTTAGTATTTTAAGTTACCTATTGTATCCATATCCGCTTTGGGATCTGACCATGAGCACACGATGGGAATAATGCATCAGTGGTTATCATACTTGTTAGCCATGTGTCTCACAGTAGATTTTCATTTAGCTACGATAAGCTCTTTCAAAGCAAACTACTATAGTTTGAGCACTCTAATACAAATGTCGGCGAATACCACCCACCACTCATTGATTATTTAACACCCTTTCTCTTTGCCTGCCATCTTAAGTTTTTTAGCAATACTTTATTTACATGTCAGATATCATAAAAGTGCTTTGTTTCTTTTTTTCGTTTCGATCCACTTTGCAATCCTTTGTGCCTGTCACTGATGAAAACAACCGTGGTAAGCCCAGATTTCTCAAGAAACTGAAAAGATCTTTTGCTCCCTTCAGTTCCATGGCATTACTGGTACCAACTTCATTGGCCTGTTTAAAATCAAAAGCTTCCATCATCGAAAGTAAAACACTGCAATGATTTTCATCATTCGATAATACCTGAAGCAATTCAAAATGAACCAGCTTTGATGTTGTGTTGATCCAAATAGTGTAGACTCCATATTCGCACTGTGCCCCATAGAATCAAAGCGTCCATCTCATGACCATGTCTGGAAATCCGCATCACTTTTTTCCACATCTTCAATTAACTTTGACTGATAGCTTTCCCAATGCTTCAGAATAGCTGGAAACAAAAGGTGCATTGATGCACATGATAAGTCGACACACTATTTGCTGAGAAATTCATGTACTTGAACATCAGCATAGCCTGACTTATACTGACACCAGACATCAGTATACCAAAACGAGTTATAACGTTTTCAGCTGGATATCTTTCCAAAACCATAGGTTGGTTTCTTCACATAAAGTTCTTTTCAACACATTTACCACAATTTTGCTCTACAATGTGAATCGAACCAATATTTTTAATGTGTACTTTTGGATTTTTAGCCTTGCAGTTAAAGAAACATTTTTCAAATAACTCAACCAATGACATGTAAAATACCATGAACATAGGTTGTTCATGCGAGCTTGCTCCTTTATCAAATCTGTAACACGATTAAGAAAATTCATTATTATGAAGTACAACAGAGATCTATATCTTAATAAGATAAAATACCTGACTGTATTACTTGTGGTATCTTCATCTAAATCTTCACTCTGACTAGACTCTTCGAAAGAGGAATAGTCCATGTATAATTCTCATTCGAAAACCTCTTTAGCACTCGCTGAATTTCATCGTCTATATTAATGCTGGTCACCATGGATGTATTATGATTCTCTGACTTCGCTTCGATATTCATTTTGCAACTTCTGGGCCTTTTTCTTCAAAGATGCTTTTGTCTTTTTGTACCAGCTTAAAGTCTTTTGTAAAGATGTAAGTTTTTTCTTAAAGTGCTACTGAAGTGAAATTTTCATATTTCGTTTTTCGATACAAACGTTTTCTCTGTATTTTACTGATCATTTTGAGCTATCGCCCACTGAATTTAGTCGATGGGAACGCATCGAACTTTGCGTTCAAACATGGCATATTTGCTTGTTTTAATGGGAATTTGACTTTGAGTGCGTAACGTCATTTAAAGGACGGAAGTTCAATTTTAAAGCTCTTAGTATATAAAATTATATACGAACAAGCATATTTCAACTGGAATTTTACATATTTTATAACTTCGCAAAATTGCGTATATTTAGTGACAAATGAGCAACACGCATAGCAACATTTACAATCGATTAGAGTTTTATAAACTTCTTGAATTAACTTATATTTCTCAATAAATTGGGTGCCGCATCGTTGACGAAGTCTGCGGTTTTAACACACACGCAATGTTATCAGAAACTAACTGTAACGCGCTTATTTCCAATCATCCAATGTATACTACTTTTATAAACTTCTGGATTGGACTTATCATTCTTATCATATGGGTGTCGCATCCTTGACGTAGTCTGTGGATTTAAAACCCATGCAATATTATCACAACGCACATAATATAAGGAGAATAATTTTTTATTAAGTTAGTCAAACGTAACGATACACCGCAAGTTAAAATATGGCGAGTAGGCAAAATTCTGCAAAAAATCGTCGAGGAGGACAATATTGTGTTGCTGGTTGGCCCAACGGAAAAAGTTGTACAAACAGTCAAAAAACAGAGGGTGTCTCAGTACATCGTTTCCCCATGAATGACAAGGAGAGGCTGAGTAAATGGACAAAATTTGTTAGGAGACATAGGCCAAAATTCGTTCCTCAGCAGTACCTTGTGCTATGTTCAATGCATTTCGCAGATTCTGCATTCATCGTGAACGCAACAGTTGCAAAATCACTAAACATGAGACGATAATTGCGCTCTGATGCTGTTCCAACTATAGACTCTGTAAAAGGCATTTCAATCCAAGGTGATAAGAGCAATCGCGACCGCAGAGTTGTAAGTACAAAATTATACAAGTTAAATTACACAAGTTTGTATGCACAACCTGGAAATGCATGTAAATGTGTCTTATTATCTTCAACAGGTGTTGCGTGAAGTAACACGAAATGTAAAAGATGTTGAACCCGCTGTTAAACATACTGATGATGAAGGGAATTCTGACGAATGTAACACGACAGAAAGCGTTGATAGTGAACCAGTTACAGAGGATTCACCAGAACCGCTGCCAAAACAAATAAATGTATTGAGAATAAGGTGCTTTGTATAAATTTTTTTTTTTGAAATAACAGGTAGCTTACGAAATAGTCATAACTTGACCCGTTGGTGTAAATACATTTTATACAACGTTTGTCATCGACCATTGGAAATTTACGCACTGTTACCTATTCCACGTTTTAGGAAAGTGATGATTCCGATACTGAAAGTGACGGTTCTCAATCCAGTAATGAGCCAAATGAATTTTTTAATATCGGCGATGTCCAGGATATTATTGGTGATCGTGACATTACAGATATGGATTGGCAATATGAAGACGAACCGTTTTCATCACAAGATGAAGCTGAAGATTCCCAGTCGAAAAACAGTTAGGTGAGTTACAGCATAAATGTCGTAGAAAACGAAGTTCAACTTGTATGAGTATGTGCTTAATTCTGTTTAGCATGGAACCTGGTACCCTGCCATGTGACGAACCCAAATTTATTGTCTTTTATGGCATGCTCATATTACTGTTCCGCATGTTTTGTTCAATTGCAAAAATCCAAATCCTCAGGTGGAAATCAAAAAGAAAGGTTCAATGGCTGTTGTAACTCAATGCTGTTCTATTTGTGGACCAACTAGAAATTTTCAATGGAACAGTCAGCCATATGTATTGGGAAGGCACGCGGCTGGAAATCTCATGACAAGTTTTGCCATTCTGATGTCAGGTGTCAGCATAAGTAAAGTGTTTTTACTATTCAAGCATTTGGGCTTTGTTCAATCACCAGCAGAGCATATTATTTACATCAAAACAAGTTCCTGATCCCCTCAGTGTTATTGCACTGGGAGAAGTATCAAAAAGCCCTGATTGAAAATGTGAAAAATATAGAAAATGCTACTTGGTCTGGTGATGGCAGATTTGATTCGATGGGCCACAGTGCTAAGTACTGTTCTTACCCCATGTTTTGTAACAGTATTTCTAAAATAGTTCATTTTGACATCAGACAGGTAGTCATAATATTTTTTTCAACTAATAAACAAATATTTTCATGTACATTTAAGATAATCAGTTGATTTTACTTGAACAAGACCTCAAAAATAATATTATAGTTTTTACATAAACTTCATTACCTTTCGTATAGTCAAATCAGTCTGGTAGTAGCAATGCCATGGAGTTGGATGGAGCTCAAAGATGCTTCAAGTTTCTTCAAGATAGTGGACTACAAATTTCAATATTTATTAGCGATCGTCACAAAGGGATTGCAAAGTGGATTCGAACATCTGAGAAGGAAACCCAGCACTTCAATGATTTGTGGCATGTTTGCAAAGGACTTTCCAAAACAATATTAAAGGCTAGTAAAGAAAAAGGCTGTGAGTTGCTGCTGTTTTGGATTAAAGGTATGTGCAACCACTTATATTGGTCGGCTATGTCTACTAAGATGGGATATGGAGATATGATTGTGGCAAAATGGAAATCCATTGCTAGGCACATTACAAACAAGCATGAAAACCATCCAGATGAGTTGTTTCCTAAATGTGCGCATGGAGAGCTATATGAACGTCTATGGCTTCAAGTTGGTATGAGCATGCACACATTTAGGCGGCAAGACAAAATTGAGATTGTTAAAATGTCTAAAATGTTACTTACCACTTTTCAGATGGGATTGTATTCTTTTTAAGGAACTAAATCATATCAGCGACTTTCCTCCATTCTGTTGAAAAAATCTGTTCTCAAAGATGTTAAAAAACTATCTTCAGAAGCACAAACTAGTTGTCTCGAAGGTTTTCATTCAACATTAAATGGTTGGCATCCAAAGATGACCCACTTTTCTTGGCTTGGTACATATTGCAGGTAACTTGTAATCACTGTTCTCTATCTGCCAAGGCTTTTTTACTTGTTCCTAGTCAAGAAAAAAAATTACATAGTAAATGGTTTGTTCTGTTTAGGCACGTACTGGCAGTACTTCATTTCAATGAAAACCTTCACAGACAGCCAAAAAAAACAAAAAATGGAACACCATATTATTCTGTGACATACCCAAAATTTAAATCAGGGGATGAAGTAGTAAGAACTGTTTCTTCAGCACCATCATATTGTAAGTTTAGCATGTATGCATTGGTACTCTTGACTTACACATCTAACCACTTGTCATTTTTCCAGACTATGTTAATGAAATCAAAAATGTCATGGTTCTTAGTTGTGAGGAATCCATGGACAACATATTTAAGAAGTATAAGGAAAAAGTCCCAGAAGCCTTAAACAAAACGTTCTCGGATCGAATTTCCAAAACTGAGGCAATTCAACGGCATTTGGATTGGAAACAACTATCTTCAACACCATTGTTTCCCACATGTAAGTTGTTCATGCTACCATGTATAATAGGTATGGCCAGTGCATTCTAAAAGTAAACACATTAAATTGTTATTTATAGATCAACAGCAAGATGTACTGCAAGCAAAAGGTTTAGACAAAGAAAAACAAGCTGCTTCAACAGGTCCTTCAGATCCAAAAACGCGCTTATGCAAAATTGTGGACAGCCAATGAAAGGACATCCAAAAGTCATTGTCCACAAGAATTACTTGACAAATATTCTTAGCAGGCCAACTTTAAAGTTAGTTATAAAATAATATACTATGCTACAAAAATGTTTCCTACTTCTATCAGTTTCTTTCCTGTGCTGACTTGTAGCCAGCATGTTCTTGGCTAGGGATTTCATAATGGAAATCGTTTCGGATGTCTGTGTAGATACATGCAGGTAATGGTCTAGAATTTTCCCAACCAAGGCATCCACACAGCCATCGAATGACCCAACGGTATGCAACTGCTCTCAAGTATCTATGAGAAATTCAAAATAGTAATTTCTTTATGATTATTTATTTTGACTTCACACAGCAAAATTGTGAAGCATCACAGCACAATAATGAACCACATAAAGATAAAAAGTAGAGATACATGGCAAGATATTAATCATTCGTTACAAAACAAAATTAGAAATCAAAAATGTACTAACTCATTTTCATGTATTGTACGACGCTTGTATGACCTTCCATCTTGGTCTCTTAGAAGTGAGCCAACATTCGTCAAGACTGTAGCATGTGTCATAATCGTGTAATCTTCGTGAAGAGTAACACAGCTAATTTTTTCAATGCTACCATCGAATACCAGTTTATGTAAAGTAGGCCCAACCTCTTGACAAAAAACGGTATTCAATGGCATCTGTCAGCAGTTGAGTACGACACAAGCTACATGCACACCTATAAAAAAGTGGTTGGTTATCATATTTATGCACCACGACATAAGGACAAAATAACATGTTTAATTCATGGTTTAATTTCTTCTAGAGTTCTAATAACATTTATCAACTTACCACTTATCTAACTGAGCGGTTCCTTCGAACCTCGCTTCCAATGTTTTAGGTTCTAAGCCATCTGCGTCTTCTTCGACCGACACAAAATTCTCTCCGACTGCGTTCGCAAGAGGTTCATTTTCGTAAGGATTTACAACTGAATTAGCCACAATTGTATCCTCATCGCCGGAATTCGAAAGTAAATTTTCATTTGCCATATCTGAGTTTTCAGTATCCGAACTGCGTTCGCTTTCACTGCTTGAAGAACTCATATTTTATTGTGTATATGTGTTAAAAATCTAACAAAATACTAGTTAATCAATGCTCATACTTCGACTTCCGTCCTTTTAAATACGTCACATCCGTATAATATTTCAGTAGGAAAAATTCGCACGCGTAACCCAAATTTGAGCAAAAATTTATTGATGATCCCGTGCTTCAATATGCATAAAAATTATACCAAAGTCATCAGGAAAGATAGAACTATTTGATTATAGAAAAATCGATAGAGAGATGATAGCACGATCTGATTCACAGCATGGAAATGGCGAATCGATAATGCTACATCTAGTATCTGAGAGAACATGTTTCCGATGGCGACTGTATCCATAACATAAACAAGCATAAACTTACTTGTCTTCGCTTTTGATCGGTTATTTCGTCCTGTAATGGTTCAGGAATCCCAGCCACGTCAATGGTTTCTTCAACCTTCTTTTGAGCTTGACTTGCACGCTCAAATTAAGGTCAAAACAGGGATCTTCAAAATGCGCAGAACACAGACACGAGGTAGAGGAAGCCTCAACACCTGGTATATGTTTACGCACAAAATTTACCCATTTTCTATGTCTTTACGGCTCTGTTTCTTTTTTAGGAAACAGATGCATCGACATTCCTTCGGTTTTTGAATCATTGGCGCAACTAATTTGATTAGGTTTGCCAGCAACACAGCGTTTTCCTCCGCGTTTCTTATTAAGATTACTAGTAAAATGCGCCATGTTGACATATGTGTTCAACTTTCTACGTCCAAGTCATCAGAATACCGATCAAAAAGTTCGCAAAAAAATTGTTGAAAATCGTGACTTTGAACGTCCATAAAATCACTTTCACTAATCCAATTTCAATTATAATTGAAGATTTATAATCACTGAAACAAGGTCTTTCAATTTAGCTAATAAAAAAGGGGGCTAAAATTCGCAGTATAAAAACTTTAAAGTAAAGCCTAGTGCACAAGTACTTTCTTCTGCTCAAATTATTTTCCCTTAGTAAGAAGAACCCCAGATAACCGAGGAACGGATTATCCTTCTGTTTTTATTACGCTATCAGAGTAGGAGCAAACCACGACTCCGTTCAAACGTAAAGGAAAAGAAACATGGATGACATCAAAGCGTCCTCATTTAGCCTATGACAGCAGGATTCCGAGTGAAGTTTTGATAGATATCCAAAAAATCTGAAGTGTCTTTACTCCCTGCTCCTTTCCAATTAGAAAATTTGACGAGAGAGTATGATGTAAGGTTTCACACTGGCCGGTCATCGACTAACAGTTTTAAGTTTGTATTTGAATACTTTCTGCCCAAAGGTAGAAATATGTATTAGCGTGGACTGGCGAGACACAAAATGAAACACCTGCGACCCCAAAAGCACCATTTCAACTGTGTACTGGTAGAGGTTATAGGTCTGGTAAAGCTCGCAAACTATCAATAAAGCAGGAGTTCCTTTTGAGTTTGACGATGTTGCGTTTGGCATTACTTATTGATGACCTGGCTTCCCGGTTTCAAATATCATCTGCTACTGTTAGTAGCACGTTTATAATGTGGATTAAACTGATGTCCAAGAAACTCTCAGCTCTTAATGTATGGCGTAGTGCTTCATGGAATTACCTAGAATTGTTGTAATCGTAGTTTAGAAGTACAAACTCATGAAATGATCTCACTTACGATCTGTAACCAATCAATCCTTTAAAATTGCAAGCCATTTTTAGGAGTGATTCGGAGTAAAATCTGTATACGTTTTGTTTTACACGGCCTTCTGACTTGCTTTACAATCGTCACAAAGGTTGTTTTTCATTTTCTGCGTTATCTTAAAGCATAATTTCGCCATGTGTTGCTATGTCTTTTTAAAAAGTTATTTTAAAAATCTTTCGATGTGTTGATCTCTTAGTAATGGCGGCGGTGGCTTTAAAATTTGTTTACAAAAAAATATAGAGTTGCTTGATCCAGTTTTTTTTCCAGATCAGGTGTTGAAAATAGTGTTATTGACAATCCTAAAATAATAATATAGTTATAGCAGTGTACTTTTGATGTCCACTGTACTTAGAAAATGTTTTTTGGAGGCCTCGTTTATTAGTACATCATGTCTCACTGATCTTCCACTTTCATTTTTCAGTCGACATTAGATTGTTCAATTATAGCACCTAAAATATCTTGGGACGGCTCTGGACAAGTCAAACTTGAAAGGGTCGCCATTCAGCAATCAAACGTAGCTGTTCTATAAAGCGACATTGTGACAGGAAAGAAAAATTTCAAAATATCCTTCCAAAATATCGGTCAAGTTGTCGGGAAACCATTCAACAAAAATTACATTCGGTATCATTTTAACCATTTCGTCAAATTCTATCTGAGGTTTACCATAGCTGTAAATGATTTTACTTGGAACTGGGTGAAACAGCTCATTCAAATTATAAAACATCGACGTAACGACATGGCTCTTACCGGATTGGCTTCGACCGCAAATATAAAAGTTAGCTAGGGTTTTAAAACGCACGTCCATTGTCTTGCAAATGAAAACAGAATTGTTTTACAACAGACTATATACCATCTTGCATGTATCAATTAAATATACTCTATAAACAAGTTAAATACTTAATCAACAAGAAGCTGATTGGATGTTTCGCTCTAAAACACTGAGCACATAAGCAATCGCAATTACTTTCTTTCATCAATTGATTGGTTAATCATGTCGTCCACATGGCAAGACGTTGTAAAAAGTTGGGTTTCTTTAACTCAAGGAAGCAATAGTCAGCATTGTAGAACAGATTTGATGAAGTCTTTAGCATATGCCAATATTATTCCAACAAAAATTATGAGCATTCAAAGCCTTCACATCATTCTATTGGCACAAATAATCTTAGAAACCTTGGATCGTGTCACAGTTCCAAAAGCAATGCCACATCGAACATACTTCCTTTATCGTGCAAATGCAAAACAAGTAATGGTCCAAGACGTTCAAGATAGAATTGCGTAAAATATTAAACAGTTGGAGAATGATAAGGTTGTAAATTATTATCATTATTATAAATTGAACATTGAAACTATGATGGACATAGATTAACTACTTTTTATTTGTATCTTTGAAAATATTAATATGATGTCAATAAGCATTAAATTAATAATTACTATTAAACCTTCGATAAAAAGAAACGTTTTTTCATCTTCAGACATTTCAATGTCGTTTATAATTTTTTGATCATATTCGTTCTCTAATTCAAAATCCATATCTTCCTTGTCGTCATTTTCCAATAAACTAATATCGCTTGCGTTTTCTTCATTCTTCAAAATCATGACACCGTCATCGCCATCCTTAACAACGTCTTTATACACCGAAATGTCTTCCAATTCTTCATCACTACATGTCTCATCGTTAGCTTTGTAATTAACACAGCTATGATTTACTCTACACCCTAGTGTAGTGGGCTGTACCATTGTATAAAGCATTGAATCGGGGAGACGTATAATGGATAAAAGTACCCCAAAAAGCACGCTCATTTTCCGAATGAGTACACACTGAAGTGTTTTGTACAACACACTGTTTACAGAAAGGAAAAAGAGTTTATCCTTGAAGGTAGAATTAGAAGATACAAATTTCTGGGTGCTAAAACCTTACATTTTACTAGTCCGAAATAATTCAAAATTGTTTCAAAATTCTCGCGAATAATTGTTGGATGACCTAAAGGATCACCTTTTGATTTGAGTAGGAATACAATTATGTAAAATCAACATATTCAATTGTTTCATCTTGTTGGGCACCCCTAAAAAGCTTAAACCCATTGACTCTGCCACCAAAAAACGCATCACGTGGTTCAAGATTTGTTATAATGTCATTTGTATCCAAAAAATGTTTCATTTCGTCCGTTTCCTTCAGTTTGCAATAGTCGTGTTTCCGAATCGTCTTAACCTTGTGGCCCAATGGTAAAAGTCTATTTTGTCGTCTTATTGTTTCATCAAATACGTCAGCCATCTGTTTCTCATTAAAAAGGGATTATCATTTCTTAAATCGTAACAAGACGGGCATGCATGATAGAGACAGTCATTAAAACAAAATATAGTGCTTGTTTTTTTACAAAAGCCGTAGACATAGTACAC